TCCTCAATCCAACAATCATTGGTTTGCTTGGCTCCCAAAGAATTTGACCATGCATTGATCTTACACTGGGATAAACCACAGCCATGGAAACACCCAGACTGAATGTACTCTTTTGAAGTTTATGTTTATTTTTCTTGCCTCTGGTCTCAGCTGAAGCTCAGTTTGGCAAACATGCACAAGAGCTTTTCTTTTGTTTGCCACGGATTCCCAAATTCCTGGAGACAAGAATTGCCAAATCGCACTTCTAAAAGTCGACCACAAGATGGCACTCATTGGTATCAAATAGTGACCTCCTCTGGTTTTTCCCAGAGGCCCCCAACTGCATTTGATCCTCACCCACAATGCTGTATAGTATGTCATTTTGCAGGCATGTTGCACTGTGCTGCACCCCCACGACCCATGATGGACAGTGTGCAATGCTTTTACATGATCAAAATGCAACCAGGTGGATGCAGTTTAAAGATCACTTAAAACAGAGCAGTAGAGTAGTTTATCGGAAGGGGTTCAAAAGCCTTTATTGCAGATATATTCAACCAGGGGCACGCCAAGGCTTGGACCTACAGCCAAGTTCTGTTTCTCAGAGCTCCGAGTAATCACTGATGCCAACAAAAGAGGTTTTTTTCCTAGCTTAATTGCCATTCAAGGGCTGTTGCAGCGGAATCCTTCCTCATTCCTTTCATTGGGTACCAGTTAAGCTTACCATTGAGGGGGGGAAACGGGAAACTACTGTTTTGGAATGTTTGGGGGCATGAATTCCTTTGAGTACAAATAAGAATTTGAGATCAAGTGAATGAGAAATCAATTGTCCGGCTTTCCCATTTGTGAAATTTAAATTTATCCTAGCACTTATTTCTGAATCTGCATGCATAAAAATAAATCAGCAAGTGCAAAATTTATGCAGATTTGTATTGTACGGTCCTGGGACCTATTTACATGCCCAGGAATACTCTTAAATTTAAGGTCAAATGTGGGTTTTTACTAATATCCTTCAAAAAAAATTTAGCAGTGCTATCAAGACAGAAATACTTTCATTTTCTTTTTAGCAGAAATTCATGACTCTGAGCATACACAAAGGTTAGTATAAATTGGCCCATATAGGGTGCAATGTATATTTGGACAGAAAAATGCAGATCCCTTTTTCTGTCTAAAATTATCATGGTGAATCTGTCCTGGGGCTGGAGAGAAAGGAGCTTTTAAGCCATAGTCAGGGCTGAAGACGTAAGTGGGCACTTGCTGAGGCCAAACTGCAGCAGCCCATGAACAAAACCCCACAGGGGTCCCTTCCCCTGTGCACCACCGGAACTTACCTGTCCATTTGCCTCTTGCACTGGCCTGGAAAGCAGCGATAACGAGGAGATGCCGCCGATGCCGTGCTGCCCACTTATCAAGGATGCAGGTGGTAGCAGTGATGAAGGAGAGGGTGAGGAGCAATAGGAGCTGCCGCAAGTGGTGGTGAGAAGGTAGCAGCCCATGGAGTGCGCCTTGGCTATGGCCACCCAGAATCCGGGAGGTGGCACAGGGAATAGTTGCCTATTTTCTGAAATGCTGGAGGAATGAACAAATGCACCCATTTCCCTTCTTAAATCCCCGGTTCCCCCGGTTAAAAGTACACATTTCCGTCGACTCCTCCTTTGTAATGCATGGGTGAAGTAAGATCTCTAACCAGGATTTGTGATTACCACCAAGTCTCCTCTTGGTTGTCATCCTAAGCTGATTATCCAGTTCACAGGGATGTGCTTAGGGGTAGGCAAGAGAGGATTATCCAAACCCAGTTCCTTCCTCCCAAAGTCCAATCCTGGGCTGCTCCAAATCCCCAGTGACCTTCCCTGTGCCCCGCTTTCCATGGAAATCCCTCTACCCCCTGAAAATGCTGTATAGAAATTTAGGGGACCCTCATGAATGGGGGAAGCTGTGGAGGCTGGCAGTGAAGTGCCCAAACCCTGGGTGAAGGGAACGTTTGTGAGCAGAGGCCTTCCTTTTGCAGAAGGCAAATCCTGGACCTAATCTCTGACCTTAGAAGAGTGTTTGATTTCAGCAGGACTTTGAGAATGAGATCTGAAGTCTTCTTGGATTACATTCCTGTGTCCAGCTGTTCTATGGAGAAGTCTCAGTGCCAGCCCTCTGCTGAAGCAGACTTAAGCCCCACCACAGGCAAAGTGGGAGAGCACAGTGCTCCTCCCTCCACCCCTACCTGGGGGGGGGGGCACAGCTGCTTACCTGCTATGGCATTTGCTACAGCAGAAAAGGTGACCTGGTGGGACTTTCAGGAGCACTGTCCGCCTGCAGCACCAACAGAAGCTCCCCAAAACCAGTGGCCCCATGTACCTGCTGTGGCAAATGCTGCAGCAAGAGCAGCCAGTGGGACTTTCTGGAGCAACTGCCCACACTTGCGTTGTCCTCTGAGGGTGGGCAGGCAGGTGAGGGCCCCCACTGGCTCCCACCACCCTCTGCCCCCCACTGATAATTGCTCAGTTATCAGTGGGGGGCAGGCTCTCTACTCAGAAAGCAGCCAATTCAGTTCTTCAGAGAGGTGGCCATGCCCACATTCCTGGCTCTGGGGAGGTCCTTTTGCAGAGGGGAGAACTGTGTGATGTTTCAGGAGATCGCCTGTGCCACACGTGGGGCTGGAAGATATGACAGCAAGTGGCAAGACACGGCAGAGACAGGGGGTGGGGGAGATGTGCGCTGGCACTGGGAGGTCTGCAGTCCAAATTCCTCAACAGGACCAAGTACTACAGAAACTACCAGTGAGACATTCCACCTGGCCATCATAAAGGTGAGGTGGTCGGCCTTTCCCACGGGCATGTCTTGGGCCATCTGGCATTGGGCTTTTTCACTCCCAGAACTGTTTACTGGCAACCTCACCTGGTCACGGAAAGCAGGAAGCCCACATAAGCTACCTTGCATTTCTTGCAAGAGGTCAAAAGTCCAGATATAAATGTACAATTGAAAAAACAAGTCCTTCTCATTTTTAGTGCCAGGCGCTCTGCAACCTCAGCTTGGATTTGCAATCTACTAGGAGCAAGTGTTGGTTTAGCTGAGAAGATACTCTTTTTGACTGTTGACTCTCAGGCCTGCAGAGGAGAGTGGGAGGGAATGCAAAAGAGTTGGAGCGTAAGCTGAGGGACTCAATTGGTGCCTCCATCCTGGCTGCTTTCTCCACTTGCACAGGTCTGGGGCAGACAGCCGGAGTACCCCAGCCAACATGAGGAAGTGCTGGCTAGGGAGAGGCACAGCTGATGAGGGATGGAGGTTTGCAGGAATGCAGAAGCAGCAGCAACTCCTTTAATTGGAGCACCTCTGCTTATGAAAGTTGGCTAAATAAACTGCTTATCACACGACCAACTTCCTATGCCTTAAAACGGGCACTGTCTTTTTATAGAGTTCCTTTCTTCCTACTCAACTTAAACAGTACCTTCTGCTCCAATATGCTTTTAAAATTGGCATGACTGCACGAGAATATTTTCCTGTGTTACCATTATAAATGCAAATCAGCAGATGAGAGCTGCTTTAAGGAAAAAAGTCCCATATGTCAATATTGCCATTATGAAACATGCCACAGAACAGTAGCATCCTGCAAACATTCAGCGTTTGAACAAGGAGCCCGGCGGGGATGGGCTCACCCTTTATTGGCTAGATGTACAGCCTTCCTCTTAGAATGAAACCAAGTTGCCAGGGGCTTGAATCTTTTTTAAAAGTTAAGAAGCTGCCCAGAATATCCCCCCAAATTCAACAATTTCCCCCAAATCTACTGGGACACTACAACACATACCTGGGGCCTTCTCTGTGGCAGCCCTCTATAGTGGAATGGTCTCCCCACTGAGACTCACCTGATGCCAGCACTGTCATTTTTCAGCGCAGGTTTTGTATCTCTTTTTACAGTTTAATTTTTGGACACGGAAATGTTGTACTGCATTTTATTGCATTGCACTTGTAGTATGTTCTTTTGTGAACTACTGCAAACTCCCCAGAGACCGTCTGCTCTTCACCAGAATACAAATGAAAATAAACCATGGAACAATTAATCAAAACTACCACTGTATTCAGAGCCAGGTACATGCATCATCAGACACGCCGATAGCAATGCAGAACTTGCAGAAAGGGTGCTGGGTGGGGAGGCACCCCATCTTAGTGGCCATGAGGGGCCAGAAGGTAAATCCAGATCAACTAGCAGATCTCTGGATAATTTGGAGTAGATTCAGCAAGGATTTCTGACTCTCAGTTGTTTAATAGTAGCAGGCACAAAGTAACTCTTGTTGCCCAAAATTACACCATTGAAATGAAAAATGTTCAGGGCAGGTGTTGTCAGCCTGATGCTCTCTGGATGTTTGGCCTACAGCGCCTGTGCCCCCTGCATGACAGCCATGCTGGCAGGGCTCATGGGGGTTGAAAACAAAACATCTGGAATATTGCAAGGCATGTTTCCCTGACTTAGTGTAACCAGAAGTGGAACTGCGTGCAGAAGGACTGTGAACTCCATTCAGTTCTGGTATTGAAAACAAACCAATGGACTCCAAATTTTAAATCTGAAGTTGATACCTTTTACAATTCATGGGGTTCTAACAAAAACAAGGTAGACCCCACCTGCTTAAAGTATGCCTACCTCTACTGTAGGAGGTATGCCTTAACCCTGACCACTTCCCCAGTTTGGGCACCAAGTCAGAACAATCCTAGAATACAGACTGCAATGATGCACCTGGAAATTATCTGTATATTTTCCCCATGAGAATCATTAGGGCTTTCCACAGATGACATGGCAATCTTGACACATTGTAGAATTCTGTTACTTAGACTCCCCTGAGCACTTGGCTTCTAATGCAAATGTGCAACCTATGTGGCCAGGAGAAACTATTCTTCACTATTTGTATGTGAATGTCATCACTCAGGCAGTGCATCATGGAGCTGGGAACGGCACGTGTGGGACGCCACGGCAGAGCACATCACTAAGGAAAGAGGAGGAAGGATGAGTTGAAAGGGGGGCAAATCACAACACGTCGCCATCTCAGTTAATAATTTATCATCAAAAGACAAGTTCAGCGGTACAACACCACTAGGAGTAAAAATAAAACATAAAAAGGTCCCAAAGAGCACACACATCTTAAATAGATTTCCTCCGGAGTCGGGCGTGCTCCCGGCAGCTGGGGCTACTGGATGAGAGAGTACTCCGGGGAGAAGACACACCAGTGTGGTCCTTGCCACCCAGAGAGACTTCCATGATTTTATAAGAAATCGAATTATAGTAAACAAGATTTGTGTGGCAGCTGAAGGCTTCTGCGTGAGGAGGATCTGGACTCCTGCTCAGCCGTGGCCTGTAACACAGACAGGTGCAGAAAGAAGGAACTCGCGTGGTGGAACTCAAAGACTTGCCCCGCTGCCTTCCGGCCTCTTCTTGGATCAATGGGATGAGGTTCATTTGGCTGGTTCGGTCCTCTATAGGAAGCAGGTTATCATTCCTGCTCTGATTCTCTTCTCTGGGTTTCAGGTTGATGTAATTCCTGGCTCTCCTCAAAGATGCCCTCTCTTCTTCATCCCGCCTCTCATCTTCTGAGTTCATGATCAAAAACCGAAAGACAACTAAGTTCAGGAAAGCCCCGATCACGGTCAAGCCCACCAGAATGTACATGAAGCTAAATGCAACGTAAGGGGGCTTCTTTTGCAAAGCTTCATGTTTCTGCAAAGCCACAAAGTCTCCAAACCCGATGGTGGTCAATGTGATGAAGCAGTAATAGAAGGCATGGAAGAATGTCCAGCCTTCGAAATAGGAGAAGGCAGCTGCCCCAATGCCCAGTGTCCCCATGCAGGAGAGGAAGCCGACCACCACCATGTTCTTCATGGACACTGTGGTCTGCCTCATGCCCAGGCACTGCTTAATTTTCTTCAGCACCATCCGGACAAGAATATTCATGCGCTCACCAAGACTTTGGAACATGACCAGGGTGAGGGGGATGCCAAGGATTGCATAGAACATGCAGAAAACTTTGCCAGCATCAGTTCCCGGAGCAGCGTGTCCATACCCTACAGGAACAAAAGGTAATACAGAAAGGGGAAAATAAACATTAATAAGAGTAGCTCTTAAAGAGATAACATTTTGTCAAAAACTCACAGGGAAATGCTTATTTCTGGCCATTGAGGGATGCAGGACAAGTGAAGCACAATATAATTGCTGGCCTCAAGGACTGGATGACCCTCTGGGTTGTACGGCCAAATTTTGAACAGGAGAATGTACAATGAAAAGAAGCCATCTCGCCTGCCTTAGAAGACTAGAATTTGGAGAGTAATTACAGAAAAGGAGAGTATTTAGTGCAGTTTTCTTCAACTGTGGATCCCCAGATGGCACTGGACTACAAACCTCATCATTCTCAACCACTTTCTTGGGGATGATGGGGGTTGTAGTCCAACACTGTCTTGATGTCCATAGTTGGGAAAGAGTGGCTTAGGCCTGGATAAATTTGAAAAAAATGAAAGGAGGAAAGAAGAGAGACCACTAATAAAAACATGAGCACAAAGGAGAGTTAGTATGGTGTAGTCGTTAAGAGAGAGGGTTCTAGTCCCTGTTTCAGCCATGGAACCAGCTGGGTAACTTGGATAATTGATAGATAGATAGATAGATAGACAGACAGACAGACAGACAGATTTAGTATATTTTGAAAGCCAGGGGTATGAGTGAAAACCTCTAGCAAGCAAAATTAAAAGCCAACAAGAAAAGTGTTTTATGCTGACTTTAAAAGTGTAAACAGAACTATTATCATTAGGTTAAGTGTTGTTTTGCCAATTTTTATTATGCATAGCCTCAGGAAAGATTAAAACTGAAATTACCTGTACTGGTTGAAACTTGAAATCCATTTTTCTAATTCATATCTTGTGGGGGAACATTTAGCCAAACAAAGGCCTTTTCACATGTAGCACTTGCTTTGCCTCATCCACTTTTGTCTCGGATCAAAAATGAGCCCTTTTGCAGTTACTGCGAGGCCTCATATTGACTCAGGATGAAAAGAGCAACTACTTGCCTGTGTTTGTGTGGTCAAAAGAGGGGTAAATGCTTTTGCTAGTTAATAAATTCTCCGGACTTATTTGCAAAACTGAATTACGAGTGAAATGTTCAATAAGACATGAATTCCCACCACAGAGCTCACAGTAGCCTTATCAAGATAAATGCATTCTTAGTGTCCTTTTGACAGCTTAAAGACTAATATTACAAAACTGGACGGACAAAGAGCTACTTTTGATAACTGAACAAGTTGATTATTTGAGCATGCTTTACATTTTTGAATGCATATATTTAGGTATAATCTATCAAGGGATAAATATATGCCTATCTTGACAGCTTTTGTTGAAATCTTTGTATACCTATGCCCAAGAATAGCTCTACATAAAATGTATAGGGGAATATCAGATACGCATGCTTACTGTATTGCAATACATTCCAATTTCGTGGAAGAAAACTGTAACATTTAATTTCTGCTTGTTTTTGTATTGCTTTTTGAAACTCATAATGAAACATACATGAAAAAAGAAACAAAGGGCAGCCAGCAGCCTGAATCAGGCTGAAAAATTTGCTCCATTGTCTTATTCTAACAAGCCTCATTTGGCTAGATTAGTGTGGTACTGAATTATAAGCAGTGAATGGAGAAATGGGGTCAGAATCAGAAGCAGTAAGCTATCGAGATTGGGACACTGTAAGGAAATGTGATTCCTTTTCTAGGCTGTATGGCTCTAAAGCAGGGATGAGGAACCCCAGGCTCGGGGGCCAAATTTGGCACTTCCAGGGTTCAGGCCAGTCTCCCATGGCCTTTGACAGAAGGCACCCACCAGCACATCACCTAAGGCTGCCCAGTTAAGATCTCTAAAAGTGCACCACTGCACACTTTTGTTAGCCCACTTACAAGCTATATTTAATGCACACATCCAGGGCACAAAACAAAACAAAATCAGCTGACTATCTAGTGGCAGTCCCTCCAATGGGCCAGTTGAGCATTTGAAGGAATGGTTACTGGCTGTCAACATGGAAATTGTGAAAGGGATCCCTGGAAAAAACAGGGGCAAACAGGGGGGAAAGTCTCCATGAGCAAAAAGACCTCTTTATCACAGCAGGAGACACCAAACCAATGGCAGTTGCTCTTCTGTTGCACTTGGACGTGGGTGGGGAGACAGCCAAACAAAAAACTTTACTGACGCTTAATAGCCTTTGCCATGTTACAGGAGTTTTTCTATTGCAGCTGTTAACAAGTTGCATTAATCTTGCTCATCAGTGGGAACAGCTTCTGCCCATGTGAAGGGCTGATTCCAAACTGAAATCCCCCCCCCCCGGGTCTTGAATCCACCCTCAGGGTGGTTCATGCTGCTTGTGGGTTGAACCATAGTAATATCTGACATTACATACCTGGTCCATCTGTTTGGCTTGGTGCCACCTCAGTGTATCTAGGAATTTCTACCTTGTTCTACAGTGTATCCCCCCTGGCCCCCATATCTAAGATAGTTTGGGTTCATAGTTGCTACCTGAGTTATCTTGCTTGTTAAGCTTGACTTTTTGGGGTTACCTGCCAGCTTCTTCTCCCCTAACATTCCAGATGTGAACTGTCTGGCCGGAAATGCTGTATTGTGTGAAAGTTAGACCCCATCTCCACAAACCTATCCTAAAACAAACCATGGTTGACAGGGTAGCTAGGTATCCACAAATAGGCATCTACAGGTGTTATCATGTCATGTGAATTCAGTTGGCGTGATCAGTGCAGCCCACCATGGCCACAACATTTAAGTCACAGTCAGTTCTGACATGTGCTGGAGAATTTTTGAATATTCAAGCTAGAGTACCACCCAAATCTAGGCAGCAGGAGGTGAGCAAAGATAAAAACACCTGCATAACCCTATAACAGACCGTGGGTTGTATAAGGTTTGGGCTATTATGTTGTGCGAACAAAGCCACTGTCTTGCCTAAGCTTACCCAGAAAACTTCATACCGAGTGGGGATTTGAACCCAGGTCTCATAAACCCAAGTCTAACACGATACTCACTATCTTATACTGGTTCTCAGGTAGACTCCAGAATATGCAGTTTTTCATGTGGATAAAACAGCAGAGATTCTACTTTTTACACACATTTTCACAGCATTCTATGGAGTTCCTTCTCATTTGATCTGGTATTAGAATCAGACCTAAAGTACTTTGTCATTTTAATTATTTAGTGTTGGATTTGATACACATGAATATTGATTGAAGCAATGCTTTAGAAAATAAGACAAAATATACAGAAAGGTGAGCGTACAGGGTGCAGGGAGGCAGGATGCTAATGTTGTCCACTATCGATAGCCTTTTTATATTTTATATCTCCTGAGTCATGTTTTCGAGAACCACAGAGGGGACCACACCAAGGTAGTTGCAATTAGCCCAATATATCCTCAACTGCATCCCTCATCGACATACTCTAGCTGTGCAAACATAATTAAATTTGTTGTCCTCTATCATACACAGAGAAATAATTTGATGGAATGGAATTGCACAGCCACTTGCTGAAACAAGGATGGAGAAGATTAATCAAAAGCTACATTCAAGGCAGAGTAAGAAGAGATTCTACTGTTTCAAGACTCCAAACTCTGTGTTTAATTTCCCCTTGTTTCTCATGCGGGAGGGTTCACCAGATTATCACCAGGGTTGCCCACTAGACTGCCTGGCTAAGATTTAGAAAGCTAATCAAAAGCCTAAAACACATTCACTGTTTTGATTTTCTGTCAGGCCTATTTTGCTGACTCACTGAAGTATGGCTTCAGGCCTCTGGTGCTGACTTGTATGGGAACTCAGTTTGTTTTATGGTATGGATTTTAATGCATTTTTATTAAATTTCACATGGGTTGTTATGGATTTCATAGTCTGCTCTGGGCACTCCTCTATAGAAATGTGCATTAGAAGCTAACTAAGTCACTCCCTACTCAACATCTAACCCACTCCTGAAATAACCTTTCTAGCCCTTGTCTTATAAACCTCCATTAGCGTGGGAGGTGTAGAAAGGCACTACACTATTATACAGAGTTTCTATTTGCATGCATTCGCTGCAAAAAACATGACATTCAAAATATTAATCATTAATTCAAAATATTTCTAGGTCACCATTTAGATTTAACAGCTAGTAAGACTTAAACAGCTAGTAAAGTGAATTTTCCCATAGTCCAAAAGCTGGGATAGTCTCTTGAAGCCTTACCAAGGTGTTAAGCTTTCGAGTTTGTTAGGATGAGCACAGAGGGAATCACCTAGAAGCTGCTTTCCCACAACTATTCTGCAGATAAAGGCTGCTTTTGCTGTGAGAAGGAAACTGTTTGCCTTACTGAAGAACCTTCTCCCCCATCTCTCACGAAGCAGGCATGACAGCCTGTGGGGATACTGAGAGACTCTGGGAGAGAGGAACTGAGTAAGATCCATGGCAAGAGGCATTATCTTTGTTCTCAACTTGGAGAGCAGAGTTGACACACTACTTAACCAGGCTACTCGGGAGGCTTCCATAGCCTTCCTAACGCATCCACAGCGCCAACCCATTTGGGACATGTAGGGCCAATGTAGAAAAGCGCTGCTCGCATGTATTTACTCACCTGATTCTCTGATTGTCTCCTGAGGAATCACCTGTGCAACCGCTTTTACCTACTTCGTACCTGTCTCATGTACCCCACTGCCATTCCTCTGGTGATAAGGGAACAAAGAGTTTCTGATGTCAACCTGTATAGGTTTGCATGGAAGGAAGCAGTCCTATCTTCTACATTTATAAAAGAAAAGCCTCCTGTGTAAAGCGGTTGTCAGATTTTGGATCCTACTGGAAGAATGAGACCAAAGAAAAGTGTGTGATGCTCTGGATGGGAAATGAAGTGAAAACCATCCATATAATGCTTTGAGTTTAGAATGAAGTATGTAATAAGTACAATAAAAAAGCACCCTGCACGTGATCGCATGAGCTATTACACGTACCCTGTCTACTGTCACAGTGATCTTATCCCCACATTGGGAAATTCTAATCTATAAAATGCAAGGGTTTTATAAACAAAAAATACCAACTTACGAGACAATGAAACCTTCTTTATTCTAGCCACTGAAGGTTTTGCACTGAAATTACAAGCATGAAATTTAGGGGGAAAGAAATTCCAAATACAGAAGTTATCATGCTAACAGTAGGCAAGGAGAGTGATGGGAAGAGATCGAGTTTTTATGTGTTGAAATAAGTAGTTCTCATAATTCTACCCATCCTAGCACCAGGGTTGGGACAATCCATTTTGGTGCCTGAAGACAACCTAAAATCCAGTCCTGATTAAGATAGGCCACCTACATTTTTCTGTAACTGTACTGCTAAAATAAATGGAAACTTCACAAGAGATGGTGTTTCCATATAGTTCTGTATTCACGACCAGCAGAACTTCTCAGTGGATGATAGCTATCTGTCTGTGAGGCTTCAATGGCACCTAAGATCACCCAACATGGGCAATGATAAGAATGATAAGGGCAGCGGTGCTGGATCAAACCAAAGTCCTATTTAGTCCTGCTTGTCAGTGGACAACCAGATGCCTAATGAGAAGTCCGTAAGAAGGATATGAATGCAATAACACCCACAACCAACAATACAGACACATATTCTCCACTGACTGGTACTGAGAGGGATGCTACCTCTCATGCTTAAGGCAATATATAGCCATCATGACAAGATGTCATGGATAGTCTTATCCATCACGAATTTGTGTAATTCCCTTTCAAAGTCATCCAGGTTGGTACTTGTATCTGAACCACATGGTAGCGAATAGATGGCATGTGAAGAAGCATCTCCTTTTGTATCTCCTGAATTTCTCAGCAGTCAGCATTGGTGGACAACCCCAGGTTCTAGAAGAAAAACTTCTCTCTATCCACTTTTCTGCACCATGTGTCATATTGTAAACCTCAATTTCCCCTTACCCATCTTTTCTTCCTAAACTGAAATGTCCCAAATTTTGTAACATTTTCTTCCCAATGGAGCTGCAGAAGTTTGCTGCCCCGTTTTGTCCCTTTTCCAACTCTACAATATCCCTTTTTGAGATGCAATGAGCAGAACTGTATATAATATTCCAATTATGGTTGCATCATTGAGTTTTATAATGTATTACAGTTTGATTTTTGTTCCCATCTAATGTTCCCTAACAAGAAATCCAAACTATCTGCCATGACATTGTCCTTGTCAGTCACCGCTATGTAGAGGCAGTGATGATTCCACACCCCCGCCCCTTTTACACTTAACACATTTGCCATTGTATGGCCTTATCATTCAGTTTGGAGAGATTCTTAAGGGTTCTCTGCAATACTTTGTTTTTTACCACCCTGAATATTTTGGTGCCATCTGTAAATGTGGTCACTTTGCTACTCACCCTGAATTTCAGATATTTTTGATCAAGTTTAAAAAACAGTGATCGCAAGAAAGCCTTTTGGAGGATTCCTCTGTTTGCATCCCATCATTGAAAGAACTGTCAATTTCTTTCCATTTTCTGCTTTCCTTTCTTTAAGCAGTTACAAATCCAGAAGATAGATTTTCCTCTTATCTCATGATTACTACATTCATCCAGAGCCTCTTCTGGATGCTGGTTTCTTACACTGGAAAGAAAGCCAGTAAGAGGACAAAAGGATGATGCTGATTAAAGCAAGTTGTACAGAGTCTGACACCGTGGGTTGGAGTGACATAATGCGGCATCTCTCTAATGACAGCTTGGCATGCATATTAACTATGCCAAAGCACACAAATTTTGCCAAGTGCAAAGCCAGAATTTGCCCAAACCACTAGGTTTCTGTCCCTCCCTTGTGTAAATGTGCTTCGTTGAAGCCAATTGTTTCTGTACAAACAACAGACAGTTAAAGATACATGACATGTATGCATTACTGTAAATGGACTTTATATTTGCTGGAAATGAAGCAATTACTTTCATAATGGGACAAGATGGGAGATGTTATTGAGTAACTGTTCTTCCTCCTTACTGTAATGTATTTTAAATGCCCTTTTTTCTAGACAGACTTGCAAAATTAATGGGGGCGCAAGGAAGGGAAGTGACCAAACCAAATACCATCTGAATTTTACAGGTGTCTTTAAAATAAAGTACCTCGAGTGTACAGCACACTACTTTTGTGGATATCTGAACATATCATGGCTACCACTTATTGCAAAATCTTAGGGAAGATACTTCGCAGAAAGAAGTGCCTGATGAGACACCTGCCCTGCTGAGTAAGCATACACAGCTATTGTTGACTTTTCAGTTCTTAGTTGTTCATTGTCTTCACATGAATGGAGCAGATCAGGCAGTGAGTGGCAAGGACAGAGGAGAAATGCAAATACATTAGTGACTTATTGCTTACAATCAGGTGCATGGGAGTGCTGGTCAGTCACTTCAAGATGTGTAAGGTTACAAAAGGCCAGAATCCATGTTAGAAGAGCAGACTTAGAGTAACACAGAGGCAACTCATGTGGTATGTCAAGAGGCAAATGAGAGTTTATTTATTATTTATATATCCCACATTTTTCCTGCAAGGAACCCAAGGCAGTTTACAAAATCCTCCACCTCTCCATTTTATCCTCAGTCACAACTCTGCAATACAGAGTAGCCTGAAAGTCTGACCCAAAACCACCCAAAACCTCCCAAGTCCCAGTACAGCACTCTAACCACCATATTACACTGGTTCTCAATTAAGGATAAGAATGCAACCCTACATACCCTATATGAGAGCCAGTGTGGTGCAGTGGTGAAGAGCATGGGACTGGGACTCAGACGACCTGGGTTCGAGTCCCCGCTCAGCCATGGAGCCAACTGGGTGACTTTGGGCCAGTCACAGGCTCTCAGCCCCACCTACCTCACAGGGTTGTTGTTGTGAGGATAAGACGGAGGAGGAGAATGATGTAAGCTGCCTTGAGCCCTTTGAGGAAAAAGGCAGGATATAAATCGATAGATAGATAGATAAACCAACTTTCTCTATCTGGGTCCCATCTTGCCTGACCACTGTCCATGGTGTCCAGGGCCAATGAGAGTTAAAAGTCCAAGCATCTCTTATCATTACATTGCGTTTATATCCTGCAAAGACCTCTTGCAAGGACCAAAGGGCACCACGTTGCGAGCAAGCCCTGTAGCGCTTCGTTCTGATAAACATGCCTAGGCCTGTGCCGAAAGTGTCCTAATTGTGTGCTGATATGGATGCGCTTGAAGGGACTCAGTATCAGATGCTAACATTTGCTTGGGCGTTTTCCTTTGCCAGGGAAACCCAGTGGCCCCTGTTGAAGGTGGGTGCAACCTGATTGCTGTTACGTGGTACTGACGGCACTCAACGCATTCAACATTTTCTTTTCACCACACATTCTAGGACCGAGAAAACAGGCAAGAGGCCAAAGTCCTGCCGGAAATCTGGTCCTGCTGGTAACCAGCCAGAATGAGCTGAATATACCCCATGGTCTGTAATGGGAGGAAGCATCACTCAGTGGCAGAGGACAGCTTTGCGTACGAAAAGTCCCAGGTTCAATTCCAGGTCCATCATGGTCTGCCATGGCCCAAGTCTGCCATGGCCTATGAAGGAAAGGATCAGCACTCAATGGCAGGGCACATGCTTTGCATGCAGAAGGTCCCTGGTCAATTCTGGCATCTCTTAGAAGGGCTAGGAAGGAATCTTGCTTCAATATTGGAAAGCCACTGCCCATCAGTGTTGACAATACTGTGCTAGATGACTGGTATACTGTAAGGCAGTTCTTTATTTATGGGCAGACCCCCAGGCTGGATGTGGGATTTTAGCGAAGAATGCTGGACTACATGGGCCGCAGCTTGAGCAGGCACTTCTTAAACCAGAACAGCCATCTCAGGGAGTCCTTTCTACATGCACAGAAATGGTACATGCTGGATGTATGGAAGTAAAAACTGCACCTGGTGCCAGCACTCCTGATCTCCATGCATTCATGGGTGCACAACCTGTACAGATGTAGGCTTTCTTCAGGTGATCCAGGGTCCCCTTCAAGAAGCAGGCAGGCAACATCTGAAAACTGAGGGTGGCAGCCTTACCATGGAATGCCCTCAACAGAAGGTCTTGCTTGGCACCTATGCTATGGATTTTCTGGCACCAGGTGATGTCCTTGCTCTAAGCATTTTGAAATCTGTTTTTTGTGGTTTTCATACTTTGTTCTGCCGCAGTGGAGTGGTTTTATTCTTTGCTGCTGGATTTATCTGGATTTTATTCCACACTGTATAGATGTGTTTTAACATTTGCATTATGTTTGTGTGCGCATAACACACCTCCCAGAGAACTTCAGTTTCTGAGCAGTTCAAAAGTAGAACAAACAGAATGTAAGCATGGCATCTGCACCTATATAAGTTCTACGTGTATATGGGCTGTACCCACAGAGCCAAGGAATGGAGGAAAGTCAGATGCAGATCTTCTTTCATGCATTCAATCTACATAGTGCAAAAGGGCTAGGTCAGGTGACTTAGGCTGTCTGTCTGAAAGATTAAGGGATGGCCAAGATGCACTCTCGTTTGGTACTTGGACAGGTATGAAAGGGTCGCGAAAATTCAACTGCGGTGGGGAAAGGAATCCAGCCTCCCGATAGAGAATTACAGGGAAGACCCCACTGCGATCCACTGATGGGTGGTTCTAAATGGAGGGGGGCGTCCCGCCGATCCGTGGCCAAAAGTATAAGCAAGACTCACCGATCGTGGTGATGACGGTGATGGCGAAGTAGAAGGAGCCTGCGAACCTCCACTGCTTGCCTGCTCGGTGGGGCTCGGCCCGTAGCACCAGCCGCTCGAACTCCCGGTAGTCTTCGGCCGTGAAGCGGTACTTCCTGCGGAGATCGCTGCGCTTCTGCTCCAGGAGGCGCTTGTGGCCGATCTCGGCCTCGGACTCGAGCGCATCGAAGACGGCGGCGCCCACCAGCAGGTAGGAGAAGACGCAGACAATCAGCGAGACCGTGCGCAAGTTCTGCCGCTTCATGGCGAGCAGGGGGCTGCCCCGGGCGGGGAGCATCAGCCGGGGCCCCGCATGGCCCCGCGCGGGCGTCTGGACCCTCCTAGGCGGCGCAGCCGGCCTCCCCGGGCGCCGCCCGCCCCGCGCACATCGCTCCCCTCCGATCCTCGGGCATGCGCCTGCCCCAAGCGCCAGGAGCGCGCCCTGCGCCGCCACCAGCTCCGGGCTACACCCGGGGCCGGTCGCCTCCCGTCCCGCTCATAGCGAGCGCCGCCGGGAGCTCGGCTCCAGCAGCAGCGCCTGCTGCGCGCGCACAAGCGGCTGAAACCGGCTGGCGGCGGCCCGGCCTTCCTCCTCCTCCTCCTCGCATCTGGCTTCAGGCTCCCACCCGCGGCGACCTCCGGCACTCGACGGACAGGCTTCCTCGGAGGCGAGGCAGCGACCGGCGCCGCGCGACTCGCGTGCTCCCGCCGCAGGGACTCGCTGGCCGGGCCACGCCTCCGCTCTCCAGCGCCGGAGCGAGGACGGGCAACAGGCGGAGCCGGGGGCGATTGCGCCATCTGAAGGCGCGCCTTCGGCGTGCCGAGGGAAGTTGGCCGGGAGCTTTGCTCCCTCCGGTGAGGCGGCCGCGGCATGGCCAGGACTTGTGGCTCGGACTTTTCTCGTCCTGCTGCTAATTTCATTCATTGTATTTCTAGCGCCCAGTACCTGGGCTGTCATAAAGATTAAAGCTGCGATGTGGCAAAGGCTCACCGGACCAAAAAGCAAAAACATACGTTTAAACAAGCTAATTCACATATGCTCTATATCTTCTGTGTATGTGTCCGCGCGCGTTCGCGGAGCGGGGAAGATCCGAAAAGGGTTGTATGGCCAAGGGAAAGTAGGCCATTTGATGGCAGAAAGATTCGAGGGTGGGGGCAGCCGGAGGTGAAGCTCCTGTGGGCAAAAAGGTAATCCAGGTGCCACAGATTACATCAGGGCCTTATTCCTTTATTTCAGCAAGACAGTTCGTGTCTTGGTGTGTGCGTATGCCCAAATACACAGCAGGGGAAGGTTTTCTTTTAGAAGATTTATACTGGAAAATAATTGGCTGCCAACAAATGTTCCAGATGGTGCACCTGGGCAGTCCTCAGTTGGCACTTTTATACATTGATCATTAACACGTAACACAGTTAACACTTTCTAATAGGTAACAGAAGGAAAAAGTTACAATGGCGTGATCTTTCCTGCCTGCATACCAAAGCAGAAAGAAGATGCTCAGAAGAAGTGGGTGGAGGAGGGGGTGCTATTACATAGAAGAGGAGGAGGATGGGGTGGGTTGGTGTGAATTGATTGCCCTTTGTCTGAGTTGCTCAAACAACTCCCACATTGAATCAGGCCCTGAAATTCAAAGGGTCTCAATAGGGTTGTGTAGTGTAAACCTTTGAAATTCTTGATCGAAAACTAAGAAAAACTGGATTAACTTCCAATCTTAGCCTGATACTTGCCAGAAAATAAAACCTGACCATTTGGACTACATCATGTAGGAAAAACAGTGTAACATGCACACACAAAACACAGAAGCCAACCTTATAATTTTCCAACAATTAAAAACAACTTGTTACTTCACTCAAATACATAACATGAAAATGAACATCTGGAAAACAACCAAATGTGTTGTGAATCTAAGGTCTTTCCTGTGGTCAAACATTACAAAATTGGTATTTTCTGCAGGAGCCTGTTAAGAAGTATATGCACAGACAAGGAGGAGCCTGGCAAAAAATGAGCCAAATAATAACAACCTCACCACCACATACCCATGTTCTCATATCCATATGCAGCATGCAGAAAAGTATTCCAACATTATTGCCTGGGTAAGTGGGTTAAACCGCTGAGCTGCTGGGCTGGGGAGAGTTCCCGTGCTTCGTCCCAGCTGCTGCCAGCCTTGCAGTTCAAAAGCATAAAAATGCAAGTAGATAAAAAGGCACCACTTTGGAGGGAAGGTAACAGCGTTCAGTGCACCTCGGTGTTTAGTCATGCGGGCCACATGCCCACAGAAACTGTCTGGACAAGTGCTGACTTCCTCTGCCAGGAAATAGAGATAAGCACCGCCCCCAAGAGTCAGACATGACTGGACTTTAATGTCATGGGGAAACCTTTACCTTTAAGCAGGGGTCCTCAAACTTTTTGAATCGGGGGCCAGTTGAAAGGTTGTGGTGACCATTGTGGGCCGGTGAGGTGGAGCTGCCTAGGGACGCGGGCCGGTGAGGTGCCATCGGGTGCGCGCGAGGCGGCATCAGGCGCACGCGGCAGTGGCTCACTCGCTCGGAGATCTCCCAGCGAGTCCAAAACCATCTCCGAGCGAGCGAGCCACCATCTACTTGCGAGGCAGCGGTGAGCGCAAGCATATGGGAGGCAGGTGGCGGCGGTTTGCTTGCTTGGAGACCATCTCCAAGCGAGCGAGCGAGCGAACGAGCCACCACATCCCTGCCTGTGCAGCAAGCATGCACGCGCGGGTGGTGAACAGCGGTGCGGGACGGACGGATGGCCATGGTGGGCCGGATCTGTTACGCGGGCCACAGTTTGAGGACCCCTGCTTTAAGGCTACTATAGACCCTCCATACAGCCAAATACTGGAAGCAGTAACAGAGTACCACCCCAGGCATTAACTTCAGAAAAGCACACAAATACTTACAGCCCCACATGTCAATTAAACAGCACTGATGACTTGAACTTAATTAAAGAAGCACACACACACACACACACACACACACACACCCTGGCCCTCTCCTGCCCATGTTTACTTAGAAGTCAATTTATTGATACTTTTATTGTAATGGCCATCCAGGAAAGACAATGCTAACAGGCAGCTTTCTAACAAATCCAATCAATACATTAATATCAAGACCTGCAGATATCCAAGGAAGTGCCACAGTCATATGCATACCTAGCTGGGGAGACACCCTAACTGAACACATTGGCTGAATTTGCATTATCAAAAGAAACCACAGTGGCTTGTTCTGCTTGGTCCCAAGTGAACCAGCTACACTATATGCCTAATCAAGCTCATGGCACACAGGATGTTATGCTGTCTGGAGCAGTAAGTGGCAGGGGTTACTTCCAAAACATCCCAGAACCCATGGCATATCATACTCCACAAGGATAATTAGACATTTTTTTTAAAATGTCTTTTAAAAATATATTTTAAAAAAAAAATCCTTTCAACAGCCAAACAGTGTTTAATTCCAAGAAAATACGTTTAGCATAATGGCAGCAATTTTATGGTTGTAGCTGTAATGGAGCTATGATTTATGGGAAGTTAAAATGTGAAATTGTGCATCCTTAGCACAACGGTTACCTCTCTCAGTTTTGACAAACTGCTTGCATTAATATGTCAGGCATGTAGAAGTGATTGTATAGTGTGGAATTGGGTCAGGGAAGAGAAGAACGTTAGCGCTAGAACGGCTGTTGAGGTCATCTAGCCCGACCTGCAGCGCAGTGCAAGATGCAGCTATGGCCTACCTGGCAGATGGCTGTCCAACTTCTGCCTGAATACCTTCGGTGAAGGAGAACTCACTGCTTGAGGAGGAAATCTGCGTCACTGTTTTTCCTAAGGTTTAGTCAAACTCTGTTTCCTTGGAAATTCCACCTGCTGGTTCTTGTCTTACCCTCTGGAGAAGCAGAAAACAAGTCTGCTATGTCTTCTGTATGACAGCCTTTCAGATAATATGAAGTATTATCAGATAATATGAAAGTATTATGACTTTCCTTAATCTTCTCTAGGTTAAACATACTCAGTTCTTTCAACAGTTCATCATACGACTTCCACACTGGTTGCTTCTCTTTGGACATGCTCCAGCTTGCTTTTATCCTACTTGAAATGTGGCATTCACAACTAGACACAATATTCCAAAAATGGCCTGATCAGTGCAGAATAGAGTGATGCCATTAAACCCACGATCTGAACATTAACCTTCTGTTTATGCAACCTACAAGTGCATTATCATGTTTAACAGCAAGATTCTGATGCTGGCTTATGATCCATCAACACATCTAGTTTTTTTTAACATGTATTCCTGCTGAGCCAGCTCTCCCCTAGCTTATGTTTTTGTCTTTGATCTGCTGGATGAACTTGCAGGACTTTACCTTAACTCTCTGCCAAACTTCATTGTGTTGGTTTCTGCACATAGTGCCAGCCTGTCATGATCAATCTAAGTCTTGATTCTGTCTTCCTATCCCTTTCAGCAAATATTAGTATCTTCTTCCCTGCCCTTATCTGTCTTTTCTAGAAATGTAAACTAGCAGAAGGCCTAAGGCAGCCCAATAGCAGTCCATGGAGACCTTCTTCCAGTTGGATGCAGAGCTGTTAAGGCGTACTGAAATCCAGGTACCCTAGGTTTACTGCTTTAGCAGTGCTGGCTCCAGGTGAGACACTCTCAATGAAGTCCTCCCTCAGTGAGTCTCCTTTCTCACTGCCATTAGCTAAGAATATCAGGTTAAGAAAGGCCATGCTGGTGCAGACCAAAGGTCCAGCTATTCCAGTACTCAGTACACACAGTGGCAAACCAGCTGCCCACAGGATCCCTCAAGCAGGATGGGTGCAAGACCTCCTCCTGCCCAAGCTCCTCAGCAACTGGTGCATGCAGGTATGCCACCTCAGGTAAAGGTGGTAGCACATACCCAGCAAGGCCACTAGCCACTGATAGCCTCCTCCCCCACGAATCTGTCCAGTTGCTTTTTAAAGCCATCTACGTGATGCTGCCTTAATTTTTGATCTGGCAGTCTTTAGGTATAATCTATAAATGGTCAAATATATGTATATTTTTTGTGCTGAAGACTCTGCGCAATTTTGCTTAAGGAAAGTATAATATGTGACAAGATATACACAGGGGTACACGTTGCATATGCATCTATTGTAATTAACATATTCAAATCTAATGCAATTAAGCTGTAATATTTTGCTTTTCTTTCAATTTATCAAAATTCACAATAAAAACTAATGGGAAAAAGCATAGCAAGGGACATCTGTGCCCATTTTGTTTATCAGT